TTAAGGATTTGAAGTCTTTCCCAAACATCACAAGTGTCAGCAGAATCAAAGACATTCATGACTTTTATGGCCAGCTGTCTAGAACCGTAAGAACACTTGCCACTATGAAGAAACTATAGGGTGCAAAAAGCTATGTTTACAACATTATGGATAAATTGGGGCCTGTAAGAGAGGTGATGGTGCAAAAGGATGACAAATGGGAGGAATGGGGGTTGGAGGAGCTGGTGGAAAATCTACGGAAATACACAGACAGAAATCCTCTACCAGAGACACTCACCCCTTCCAATGAAGTCAAGAAACCACTGACAAATCAAGGAAGTCACCAGAGGAGGGGAGACAAATTGCTTATGTCTGGTTCCACTTCACGGCAGCCTCGACAGCAACAAATGCCCACTTGTGTCTACTGCAGTTCACATAGTCATCGCTGTTTGGAGTGTACAAAAGTTCTAGTGGTAGCCCGCAGAAGAGAGTTTCTGAAGAGCAACAGGCTGTGCTTTGGCTGTGCTTTAACTGCGCAAGGTTCGGGCATGCAGCAGCCCAGTGCAGATCTAGAGGATGTGGAAAGTGCAATGGCAGACATCACACATCCATCTGTGATCGACTGAATACAACGCTTCCAAGCAACACTGCCTCTACCTCACTGGGCCCCACTGATAGGTTCTATAGTATAAATGACTGCCAAACAACACTGCATTCAACTGTGGTAGCCAAAGTTAATGGAGTATGGGCATGGACCATGCTTGACAGTGGGGCTAGTAGCTCTTACATTAGTGCGAACTTACTGACTGAATTGAACATCAAGCCATACAGAATTGAGAGGAGAATCATCAAGCAAATGTATGGAACAGTAGACAAACAAGAGGAGATTTATAAAGTTCACTTGAAATCAGATGCCATTCATGACTTTGAAATGGAGTTGCCATGTATCAACACGGAGAAGCCTGTTTTGACCTACCTTTCAAATCCAGGTATCCCAGAGTTGAAACTAAAGAATAGTTGCATCAGGAGGCTAGTTTTCTGCGAGGAAGCAGGATAAAATCGACGGAGCCTGCAGTTCTCGGATCAAACCCAGACACTGACCCTGGGGCCGAGTTCACTATGTTAGGGTGGGTGATCGCTGGAAAATCTATCTTGCTAAACACTGGAGAAGAGAAAGGTTTCTTCTTAAATTCTAGTCAAGATGAATTTGTGCAAATGTGTTCTCAACAAGTACTTGGATTAACAGACGTGGTAAACGCACAGGAACTATTCCATTCAGATTTTGTAGACCAATTGCAACGATTAGCAGATGGAACCTATTCAGCAAGGCTACCATGGAAACCAGACCATGCTCCTTTACCCACAAACAAGGAACTTTCTATGGGAAGGCTGAGAAGCACAACAAGAAAGCTGGAGAGAATGCAGAGGCTCGACGAGTACCACGAAGTAATGGAACAACAGTTAGAGCAGGGGATCTTGGAACTAGCACCAGAAGTTCCTACAGGGGAGGTCATTCATTACATTCCCCACCAACCTGTCATTCGTGACCAGGCACAATCTACTAAAATGAGGATAGTATATGATTGCTCAGCAAAGCCAGACTCTCAAGCGCCATCACTAAATGACTGTTTGGAAGTTGGACCCCCCCTTTAGCCCATGATCTTTGACATCCTTCTGCCGAACCGTCTTAACTTTCTGTGTATCACAGGTGACATACAGAAGGCCTTTCTCCAAAATAAAGTGGATCCTAAGGACAGAGATGCGCTACGTCTCCTATGGTACGAGAATCTTAACTCAAGAACTGTTTTGCGGTACTGCTTTACGAGAGTAATATTTGGATCAGGGCCGAGCCCATACATTCTGGGGGCTACACTTCAGAAGCATGTACGCCAGTATGCAGAGAAGTATCCTACTACTACAGATGAGTTGTTGAAGAACACCTACGTAGACGACTTTCAATCAGGTGGCCGACACAAGGAAGAATTGTTGAAGGTTAAGGAAGAAGCAATCAAGATAATGAAGGAGGGTGACTTTCAGCTCCACAAGTGGCACAGCAATGTCCCATAGGTAGAAGCACCACTTAATGACAGTGGTGACACATTAGCATCTACAGTGAGTCCTTCTTATGCAAAGATACTTGGGGTACCGTGGAACAAGACTGAAGACAGGCTCGAGATCGGTTTCAGAAAACCGTTGAAGGAAGCCAATGACAGCAAATGGACGAAGAGGAAGATGCTGTCTGCCATCAATGGTATCTTTGACTTGTTGGGGATTTCAGCCCCAGTTATCATTACAGGAAAGGTCCTGTATAGCCAAGCATGCTTGCAGAAACTGAGGTGGGATGAGGAACTGCCCAATGACCTCCAGAGACCTTGGAAAAAGTGGTTGAATGGAATGGCAGAACGCCCCTGGATAAGCATTCCACGCAGTGTCGTAAGCAATGGTGTAACAAAAATTGTTCTAAATGGTTTTGCAGATGCAAGCAAGGTGGCCGACTCAGTTGCTGTGTACACACTAGCCTTCCACGTCACCTCACCAGTTAAACAGAACCTGCTTGTAGCAAAGTCGAGGATAGCACCAAGAGGCTTGTCAATTCCACAGTTGGAACTCATTGCAGCAC